ATTACAAAAATTCTGTTTGACGGGCCCTGAAAAGGATAACTGCACTAGCGTAATATTATTCCAAGAGCATCGCTTCACTGAATAGGCCCCAATGTCTCTTATACCTCAGTGTTGTTAGTAGCAGTTCTGATTATTGGTTACTTGGATTGGCCAATTCCCATTTCAGTATACGAATTTTATAGGTACCTTTCAATATTTGTGGTGATAAAACTCTCAGTATTGTACAGAAACTTTACACGTACAGAACACAATAAAGCAATGTAGCACAGTTTACTGAGCATTATCATGTACTCAATTTTTATATCTGAAATTACGGATTCAAAAGAGTCTTAAAAACAAAACTTTTTAGAAACTTGTTTCTGAAAATTTTTAGTGCAAACTGTAGATAAATGATGTCTAATATACTAAGGTCATCTTCAGAAGCACCAAAGATAAACTGAACACTTTTAAAAACTACTGTTAGTTTTGTTTAGAACAGTTGGGTTTTTAATCGCTTTTGCTCCTCACTTTTTTCCCTTTTGTCCCTCTGGGACATTGCTGTCAGCTAAAATTTCCCACTTTCCTTCTTAAGGTATCTTCAACTTCAAGCAGATTTTCTATTGAAATACATGAAATTAAATAGAGAAAAATGGTTCAGTTTCAGTTCAAAGATTTAGCTTACAACAATGACTTAGTAGTCAATGGGACAGGAGGCTGTCTGCCAAAGAGACTGCAATTTAAAAGAACAAATAATAGAGGAATTTTAAAATTATTATAAATTTAGCTTGAAAAGAAATAATGAGGAAAAAAAACCTCTCTCAACCTTTGCCACCCTCAACAGGATAAACACAAGGTACAAAAACAATGAATTACCAGAAATATTGGAAATACATAACTATAACTAGAAGAAATAAATATATTTAAACTAAAAAGGTAAGTGAAAAATTATATATAAAAACGTACCCCATACCCCTTTTGTAGTGTTTCTTGTTCACGACACAGGCATTTTGGCAAACCAATTCAAGATATGACGTATCACAAATGTACACTGAAACTAGCTTCAATCTGAACTGTCAGAGAAAAAGTGTATAATAAAAGGAGACATTTTGCGAGCACTCAACTGCAAATGTATTGCAATGCAAGCTGTTCCATGGCTGCCTTCTGTAGGACCACTAAGTTGCAGCAAGTATGGCTGAATTTGGAAAATGAGAACTGATGAGAATATATTACAAATAAATATTCATGTAGCTTTTTCTTCCATTGCTGTTTTTATAGGTTCCTTCTGGGATGCTAGGTGTGTTAAAATAATTTGGTGCAAATCATCTAGCCTGCCAATATGGATTAGATGATGACCTCACTGATGCTGCAGTAACACTACAATTCTTCTGATGCCCCGTTTATGTCAATGGAATAATTCATGGGCTTTTCACATGGGAGCTAGGTGCCTGTCCGCATCCAGCACCTGTTTGTACCTTTCTTCATCCTCAAGAGGGAACAACCAAAGTGGATGGAGGAATGGCCCCCATCCCACCAGGACATTGTTTTCCGACAGTGGTACCAAATGCTTTCAGATCAAACTGATCAGCTGCTGCATGTCCCTTTGACAGAAGTTGATCAAAAATTTGTCTGGTCCTTGCTAAACCTGCTGAATTTCAAGCTCTGGAACTAGAATCCTGTAGGGAAAAGGCCTGCCCTTACCTCTACCTCCTCTACTAAAATCTGCCGATAGAGCCTTAATAATATAGAGATTACATCTACATATGCAGAACATAGTAAGGCATCTGTGTTTCCCACAATACAGTGATTGGTGCCAATCATCAAGCCTACACAGTGGGGTCGGGGAGCTTATTTGACCCTTTGCATTTTTTTTACTTTTCCTGTCAAACCTTAGGGAGTGGGAATATTGAGAGCTCCGTTGGAACACAGAAGGGACAACAGCACTATGGTGCCTGCTATGCAGTGGCAGATTTAGTTTTTTGTTCTCATTTTCCACCAGTTATTTTATCAGTGAGAGGTATAAAACAGCCCTTGCGTATTTGCCTTGTTTCAGTGGGTGATGCAATTGTCTATTGTGCCATTTAAAACCCATAAGTTTAAAGACAGTACAATGGGGGAAAAGGAAATGTTATGAAGTGGACGTGAGCTGGTAACAATCACTAGAATGTCAGATATAAAGAAACAAATTAAGAGTACAATTTTAAGAAAAAAAAAAAGGTTTTAGCTGGCAAATACAGTTTGCTTATCAAAGTACATCTCTGAAATGAAATATTGGACTGATTCTGTAAGATTGAAATTTTAAATTTCCCAGCGCACACGTTCCTGCGACACAAGATGGCTGTATGTATAGACGGCTGCTGCAGTGACCATCGGCTGGAACTGAGAAAGTCAGAGCAAAATAAATGTCACCAGCACACCTTACGCACATAGTTACAGCAAAGCAACATTTCAGGGTCTCACGGGACCCCTTCATCAGGCACACACCTGATGAAGGGGTCCTGCGAGACTCCAAAACATCACTTTGCTGTAATTATGTGAGTGAGAATTAAAGCTACAGACCCTTATTGGACATCTGCACTGTGCTGGTTGCTGGTGACATTTATTTTGTTTCTGTAAGACAGCACAAAATCAACTGTCTTACATACAGTGCATTACCATAGCAACCAGATTTCACATTACTGAAAGCTGATCAGTGAACAATAAACTTGAACAAGTTGATGTAGGATACTGCTCATTGTATTACAAAAATAATGCTGTATGCAGTTTTATGTGCAAAAGGGAGGTTGTTGGGTACACACATTTCTCTGGGGCTTAAATATCAAGAAAAGGTGATATTTTTTCACAACCACTAATCGGATTCAAACTGTTAGACCAGGTCTGAAGCCGATAGGTGGCTGAGTAGAACATCTGGTTGTTAATAACAACATTTCAATACATAGAGACCTATAAGACCGACATATTTAGCCATGATAGGAAATTTAAAAAAAAAATGAAGGATGGCCAAGGCCAAATGCTCACACTTTTCAATATGCCTAACAAATAGAAGGGAAATAAATATACCTGGAAAAATAAGACTAATAAAAGTATCATTCAATTAAAAAAAGGGTCACAAATTTACATTTGGTAGCATATTTCTGTTTATCGAGTTAGAAACTATTCTTAAATAGTTTTTCAGTCAGTGCAAAGAGTAAACACATCAGAATGGACAGAAGTATTCTATTCCATATTGAGGCTTAAGGGCAAAATCTATTATTCCCAAACAGTCTTTTTAAGGTGCTACTCTTGTTCCGTGAGTATCCAGAGCTAGTCTGAAAATAGTGCAGCAACACTAGTCCTTACCGGCAATCAGAAGCCACTGGACACTGAAATTAGGAGACCATAACATACAAAATAAACAACTTGAGCAGAGGAAGGCAAATCATATCTACAGAAATATATTTTCTACCATCTAATGGCTAGCAAGAGATGTACAGTATATGTGTTGCATCTACTGGGCCAAATGTTGCTAACCCCAAAAAGTAGAAAATATTAAAGTATAAAAACTGATGGAAAGTGAAGCCCACAGAGAGTGCTAAAAAAGGACAACTGAAATTTGTCTGGCTAGAAGTAAAGCATTCCATTTCAGTTTTTATATTTTTTCTAATTGTATCCTTCTGCTGAACAAGTGACATACTGGTGGCAGAGCCACAACAGCATAACATTCTCTGTTGTAGTACAAATGCAACTCAAAGGGTAGCAAGGTGCTATAAGTGCATAAATCAAACAAAACTTTACAGATATGTAAACCAAACTAACAACATATATTGGGTTCTGAACATTCAGATCCACTTAAAGATTATTCCTGATGTGTTTGTTATTTATAAGGCCATATGTAATTATTTTCCTGCTATGCCGCTTAAAACCTTATAAAACCTTTAATCAAAAATCCCAGCATATATTAACCATTACCTTTTAATCCAATTAGGTCTCCAATAAATACCAATACATATATTCTTAAAACACAGCTAGTATAAATACCCCTTTTTCATCTTTATTTTATCTTCCTGTAATCCCTTGCCAGGGAGGACTCATAGATGAAAGGGCGAACCAATCAGGCTCTACTACTTTGTCCAGTCCAATACTGGGAGCTTGCTGACAGGAGGATAAAGCACAATGAACAGAGTGTTAACCAGTGCGGGACAGTTCCTTAAAGTGTTAGTTCACCAGCTACTGTGAATTTTTTCATGCAGGCTGCGTACGTTCTACATGTATGGAGGGTGGCAGGAGCAACTATTTCAACAGGAGAAAAGTGATATGTAAGGTGCTTGGAATGCTGAAATGCATGGGGTATTTTTTATATATATATATATATATATATATATATATATATATATATCCATTAAAAAGGTGAACCCTTTAACTGCCTACCTTGGAGGCTAAGGTGGTTCAGTAATCAAGCTGTGCATTTTAATTGCAGTGGAGAAAAGTGAGATCACAGACCTGGCTAGGCTGCCTAGATAAGAGAATGGTGGAGCTAGATATTCTTTGGCAAAGGCGAGATTTTATAACTTACCACATAAAGTAATCTACTAGCTGTGACAGACAATATTCTTTTTTTATGCTGAACAAACTGATAGATGTGATAATCTGACATTGCTTTGGACCTAGCGCCTTGCTACCTTTTGTACTAGCATTTACCACTGTCTTTTTATCTACACATTTAATGTTTTCAACCACAATACCTACCACATGGTCAGTATATTAATTTCAATGCGATCACATACTTTCTTTTGTATAAAAGAAGAAAAAATACAGTAGTGCCAAGTAATACGATGCAAAGAAAAACAAAATAAAAAGTGCTTACAGGGTCCATATTTCACTAGTCCGCAGAATATAAAATCAAGATAAAAACATTTCAAGGGAACTGTATTTTGAGGGCAACTGGTCAAAACTGTGTTGACCATAGGCTGTGACTGAGCCTCGGTGTTGTGTTTCCTTTTTGTGGGGGTGAGGGCAGTTGCCTTGCATCACCCCAGTCCCCACTGTTAAACTTTATGTTCCCCTCTCACAATGTGGGATGAGAACTCATACCGGTCCTGGCTGTGATAACCACAAATATTGCACTCAAAAGGGTCTCTGAAGCCATGACAACCCATGTGTATAGTGAACATGACATGATCTAGGAAGAGCACCCGACAGTGTTCACACTTGAATACCTTAACAGGCTCGCCATCCACTCCCAGTACTCTTAGGGTTTCTTTGGCTGTGCCAGGTCCAGGGCGTGATGGATTGATCACCACTCCTGATTCAGGGAGTTTCTGGTCCTCTTTGGCATAGGCAGGACTTTGCCTGCTACTGGTGGCCTGAGAGCCCCTCTCCTCATGGTTGCTTTCTGTGTCTGTTGCAGAGTCCTGGCATCCATTGGTAGGAGAAGCTCCTTGCTCAGTCCTTCCTCTGTAATGACTTGATGTTCCATCTGGCATGTCTTCATGGCCTTCTGCTGCTTCTCGATTTCCAGGCATCTCTGGCCTCCCTGACATAGGCTGGAGTTGTGGTGTAAACTGAACTAATAACTGGGGTGATCTCTGAGATGCAGTTTGTGGGAGGTAAACGCATGGGACCTCCAACAAAAGCTAAAGCGTTCCCGTAAGTGGGGTCAAGAGGATGATGCGGGACCATTTCCATATCCTTCTCAAAACTGGAGTTCATTTCATAAGGAAGATCAGCCAGGCTAAGCCGCATTTGTTTCTCCCCTAAAAAGAGATGGCAAAACTTTAAGTAACTAGCAGTGCTAGACATATTAGGACAGTCCCTTGATAGGGGCTTATATTGCTTCGTTACAACCAGTCTACAAAACAGACCAAGCAGCCTTTTTTTTTCAAATGTACTGCAAAGCAAAAATATTGGTGCTGCTAAGAAAGCAGACAAAAGCCAGGTATTGTTAGTGACCTCATTAAATTGGCCTGCCTGAGTATAATAAAAAAGAAAAGATAACTAGGGAGCACTTAAACTAGATTAAAACTGCAGTATGTGTTCACTTGTTTAAAGATTTGTACGAGGTTTACAGTTTATTCAACTGGAAACCATGGTGTACCAACTTTAAACTAAGCAAATAATTGCTTCATAATCTTAGCTTGGTAAGGAATGAGGACATTTACCAAGTCAAAAGGAAAATACAGCACACATACAAGTATAGTGATAGAGAAGAGAATCTACCTAAGAAATGAACTAAAACCCTTAAAATAATGGCATACCCATGGAACAGAGAACACATGTTCATTCTGGTATGCTAGTCTAATGTACAATAAATGCCTCAGATGGCATCACTGAGTCAGACACGATCAACATCACAAGCACCATCCACCTCCAGCACACAGAAGCATGTGCTCTTACCCATAAATTTCTGAGGTGTGGAGCGTTTGCGCTTTGTAAGGCCGCTTGCCAGCCGGTCCATAAAAGACGGCGGGTCAGAGGAATGCATCAGGGCATCTGGTCCCAGATCCAGGTCTCGTGTCTCCTCACCTGAAGGAAAGGAGAGAAGAGATTGGGCCAAATATTGGTGCTATGTGATAGGTTGTGTCTAAACTCAGCTTTATGTTCAGTGTTGAATGGAATCTGGTGTATTACACACATCGGTCCAAGCATCCAAAAGATGTGAATCTCCAGCTACAGTAATGGAGTAAACTTTTTTTATTTTAAACTATAAACACATCAGTGAAGTTCTACCCCCTAATTGGGAAATGTGCTGGTGATGCACAAACAATGTGTTCAACTTTAGTGACAAAAGCTACAGAACATTCTGTAAGCTTTAGTACACTATCTCACACTGAATGCTTGTGTGTCAAAATACCAGATTTCGATTCCATGGGACAAAATATGGCCGAGCTGTATGAAATTTGATTTGAAGACTCTTATCCTTTGAATGCACAATATAAGAAAACAAAATGGGGATGTCATATCACTCTGTCAATAGTAAACAACTGTTTCCTTACAATAGACTACAATATATTAGTTGCTTTTATTGTTCTACTTTTGTGAAGAAGTAGGAGGGTTACAAAATTAAAACAGAACAATGCCCGGTGAGGCGTGTCAAGGAATTGTTGGACATATTGTAACTGGGCTTTTTGTGGCATTGGAGCAGTGAAGGCTTCTTTCTGGCAACTTGACCATACAGATCGTTTTTTGTTCAAGTATTGTGCTTCTTTATAAAAAGACACACACACTTTTTTCCAGAGCAACCTGTATTTCTCCTTAGGTTACCTGTGTTTTTTTCTTTGTATTCTAAACAATTCTTCTGACAGTTGTGGCTGCAAACTTTCTTGGTCTAACGGATTTTGGTTTTGTATCAAGAGATCCCGGAACTTTACACTTCTTAATAAGTGATTGAACAATACTGACTGGCATATTCAAGGCTTTTGATACCTTTTTATTTCCCTTTCGAACGGTATAAAGTGCCATTACCTTGTTACACCGGTCTCTTGACAGTTCTTTTCTGCTCCCCATGGCTCAGTATCTAGTCTGCTCAGAGCATCCCCTTGAGAGCTAACAAACTCATTGACTATTTATACACAGACACCAATTGCAATGTAAAAAGTCACAGATGTGGGAAATGAGCATTTAATTGCCATTTTAACCTGTGTGAGTCACCTTGGGTGTCTGTACCAAGGCCAAACATTCCAGGGTATGTAAACTTTTGATCAGGGTTATTTGGGTTAATTCTATTACCATTATGATTTAAAAAGGAGCTAAAACAACTATGTGATAATAAATGGCTTCATATGATCACTATCCTTAATAAAAAATAATGATGTAATGATCAGTCATATTTTCAATATAAATGCCAACATTTCTGAGCAAATTGAAATCTTTAAATTTTTTAGCAAAACTGTATAATCACAAGAGCTTGTGTATTACAACAGCACTTCGCATTAGTCCCCACTTTTAGTATGCTTCATAATCTCTGTGTATTCATTCAATAAAATAGTGATCATCAAGAGAATTACTCCAGTTGGCACTTAAACTCACATTTCCACTGAGAGTACCAAGAACCAGCAGATGGTCTGTTACATCCAAAGTTAAAAAAACAAACAAAAAAAAAAAAGCAATGTCTTCTCTTTCTGGGGGGTATGGGGGGAGTTATGATATAAAAAATTACAGGTAATGTTGTCAGCAGTATTTGAGGAAATAGTCAATTTTATAAGTTTTGCTAGAACTGAAACAATGCTTGGATGATTTTATCTTCTATCCCTAGTTTAATGCTTGAACAGATATACCTTCTGGCCTTGAAAGTAGGTCACACACACAAGCATCTAGAAACAGAAAATGTCTAAAACAACCTTACGCTGGTGGTTGATTCTGTATGGGAACCTTAAAACTTTGCAAACATTTGAAACACTTAGGAAGTTAAAAATACCATAAACATAAACAACTACTAAAGAAGAAGGGGATTCATAAGAGCCTCAGTCATTCTCAACCTACAGAGGGTTCCAATCACCTGTATGTGAGGAGAGGTGTTGGCCTTCATTGCTGAGACTCTGCAAGTAGTTATGACAGCGCTCCTTGTGTTCCTCCAGTGTGTTCTGCTGTTTATAGCTGCGGCCGCAGTAGTTGCACTTGTAAGGCTTGCCGACTGTGGGGGAGGAGACTGGAAAAAATGAAAAACAGGGCCTGCCCATAGATATGTGTCCTAAAGACTTCACATAGATATGGGGATCACAATACACCAGTGAAATAGAACTCGATCATTAATTCAACTGGATCAAAAAATGAAAGCTCATTTTTTTATTATTCAGACATACAATATTTATGAAACATCCAGACAAAACAAGGCAAATAGCAGATTTTGACTGATTTCTTATATTGCAACTTTCACTTACCTGCATTACCATTTCTATCTGCTGAATATACAGTATATTACTTTTACAACAAAAAAAAGAATGTAGTACAGGAATTTACAGTACAATATTTTGTTTGGCTTTGCAGTAATCTGGGCAGGATACAGAACAAGAATGACTCCACACACCACAATCCACCTAAAAACAGTTTCAATTAGACTTGACCTTAAGGAAAGCTTATAAAATTGATTAGCTTAGTCTGCTAGTATTTGATGCAATGAGAAGAAAAATCAATGAAAAGTGCTCACTTGCAAAATTTTGGATGCTCTGGGAAATAGGTCAAGTGGGTCTTTGTAATCGTGGTAGTGAAGATCGAGGTTAGTAAGAAGCGCTCCTACTGCTGAACAATTTCTGAAATATAGTTTGGCATTGGGTATTTTATCATTTACAGATTCAATAACAGCTGTGACTGACCATCTGCAAACTAGCCATAAATCCCTCTGAAAAACTAAAATGAAACCTTGAAATTAACCACTTGCTGACTGCCTCACGTAAGAGTACGGCGGCAGAGTGGCTCTTCTGCTCTGGATCACGTATCTAATACATGGTTCAGCTCCTAAAAAGGTAGGGGGCTTGTCACAGCACAAGCCAATCAGCGGGTCCCGGCCAATGATTACCAGCCGGGACCCGCTGATCGGCAAAGTGGAAGACAGGACAGAGCCCTGTGAATGTAAACAACACAGAGCTCTGTCCTGTCAGCAAGGATGAGCTGGTTTTTGTTTCACTGCAAAGCAGGGAATAAAAACCGGCACATTACTAAGTAAAAAACAGCACGCAGTGAATGCACCAAGCACTGTTAGGCACGCAGTTAACCCTTTCATCACTCCTAGATATTAACCCCTTCCTAGCCAGTGTCATTATTACAGTGTCAGTGTATATTATTAGCACTGATCACTGTATTAGTGTCACTGCTTCCTATAAAGCGTGAAAAGTGTCAGATTATCTGCCATACTATTACAGTATCAAAATTCCTGCATATATATACACCATAGTTTGTAGATGCTGTAACATTCGCGCAAACTAATATAAACGTATTGGGATTTTAATTTTTTTTTACCAAAAATATGTAGCAGAATTTATTTTGGCCTAAATTTATGAAGAAATTTGATTTTTTTAACATGTGTTTATTGCATATGTTGTATAACAGAAAGTAAAAGAAAAATTGTTTATTTTTTTTAATTTTTGGTCTTTTTGTTTATATAACAAATAAAAAACCCAGTGGTGATTAAATACCACCAAAATAAAGCTCTATTTGTGTGAAAAAAAAAAAAAAAAAAAAAAAACGCATTTCATTTGGGTACAGTGTTGCATGACTGCAGACAAGTCAGTTAAGGTAACGCAGTGACGAAAAAAAAAAAAAAAAAAAATGCCCTGGTCATGAAGGGGATAAAATATTCCAGAGGGCACAATATCCACTTGAAGACCAAGCCTTTTCTGACACTTTTTTTTTTTTTTTACATGTAAAAATCAGTATTTTTTGCTAGAAAATTTCTTAGAACCCTCAACATTATATCATTTATTAAAGCAGAGGCCCTAGAAAATAAATTGAATAGGTGTTTGCAATTTTTTATGTCACACGGTATTTGCGCAGTTGTTTTTCAAACGCAATTTTTAGGGAAAAAAACATTTTTGAATTCTAATGCAAGAAACAGTACATAACCCAAGTTTTTGGTAAGATATAAAAGACAATGTTACACCGAGTAAATAGATACCAAACATGTCACGCTTTAAAATTGTGCATCCCAACAGCGACAAACAATGAAAATGTTACTATCCATAGGCGACGCTTTAAAAGCCTTTACAAGTTACTACTTTAGATTTACAGAGGAGGTCTGGTGCTAGAATTACTGCCCATGACCTGACTTTGCAGTGATACCTTACAAGTGTGGGATGATTGCTGCTTGCATGCGGGACCAACGCATGCGTCCATCTTTGCGTAGGAGCTTGGGCGGACGGGGACACTTTAAACATTTTTAATTATTTATTTATTTTTACACTGTCGCTTTTTTTGGATCACTTTTATTGCTGTCCCAAGGAATGCCCTTAAAAGAATTTGATCACACAAAGTTTGGTGCGATCAATTGCTTTTCTTTTCTAAAATAGGCGCAGCTTCCATCCAGGTAAACTGAAGGTGATGTAAGGTCATCAATCCCAGTTACCTATATCATAGATCAGGTGTCCCAGTGGGACCGGACAGCCTGTTAAAGTCGCGAAGGGCTACAGGAGGAGCCGCTCTGATTGCTATTACAAGAGAGCCGACCGTAGGCTCTAAAAAAAAAAGGTACCGAGATGATGCCTGCAGCTGCAGGCATCATCCTGGTTTCACCACATAAAATCCAGTGACAAACAGGTATGTCACTGGTCGTCAAATGGATATACATGCTTAAACCTAGATATAACTCATCATGCATACCTACAAAGAAAGAAGAACTTTTCTAAGTTATCAGTCAGTTTCCTGCTCGTCATTTAAAGTTTAGTCACACACCCTAACAAAGAACTTATAAATGCATGACATGGTCTGAGGTAAGCATGTATGTTTTCCAGGTATTAAGCCAGCACCGTGAAGTACCAGTAAACACCAACAAGACAACTGGAAGAGTGGAAAGAAATAGTGAACATTTATGTTAAGACACTCACCAGCGTGGGTGCGCAGGTGCCCTGTTAAAGCATCTCGCCGACGGCAAGCGTAGTTACAGAGAATGGGCACTTGAAAGGCTTCTCACCCGAGTGCAGTTTAATGTGCCGTAAGAGGTTCCCCTTCTGGGTGAATGAGGCACCACACTGGTTACAGTGGAAAGGCCGCTCACCTGAAACAGCATCAAACATAAAGTCCTCGCTGAGTGCTGCAACACAACAGCAAGCTGGTTAGAATCTCAGACTTATTCTACTTATAATGGAGATAAGCAACAAGTTCCTATTTCCTCCTAACAATAGAAACTGCAGGAAATCCTATCCTACAAAATGAACCACAAATGGCATCCAACTACTTTGGGGAAAAAAAATTGTTATTATAGAGCCACGATAGTGCATACTAACAGCTCTGCTTATTTTCTACAGCAAAATAACTCCCTAAAGCTGCCATATCAAACTCAAAACAGTAAGAATGAATTTGAGTGGAATAAAGTATTCAAGGGCCTTCTTTATGTCTACAAATTACCTTGCAATAACTCTAATAACTCTTGCAAAACAATTACTGAACATGGATAAATAAAGCAGTATCCAGACCGAAATAAAAAATGAGATATATTGCAGCTTACCAAACACTGGATGTGGTGACTGCGGTTTTTTAGGCTTTTTTCCTGTTTTTACCTGCTGATTTGGCCAGCAACACACCTTCTGTAGAGTGCCACCACTCTGGATAAATTAGCACAGGGGGCACATTTGGACAGTAGCATTGTCAGTTTGGGGGAAGGGTAGTGTTAAACGTACCAGCAGATTTAAATACACTAATACCTTGAAGCCAGATTGTCAGAGGTAAATGGTTTGTCTCATCCCTGTAACTGATAAATCTGCAGGAGTGCTTGTTCTTTTGAAAAAGAACAGATTTACTGGCCAGATCACAAGATAAAAATAGAAGAAAACTAAAAAAAAAGAAAACAAAAGCAGCAATCACATCTAAGAATTAGTAAACTGCAATATAATACCCGTCCCCTATAAGGTTTTATACTATAGTAATATTTATAACATTTTATTCTAGAGCAAGTGGCCATACTTCCTGAATTAGCTTATGTAAAAAGTATATATTGATTTTCTAAACTGAAGGGAGCTGATGGCCTCAGACTCAAACTCCTAAACCATCTAATGGGCTGTATGCAGCCCAAAAAAAAGACTAAACCCTCCTATCCTTTACATGCAAGGAGGCTGACATCTCAGTCTCCATTTGTTCCATTGTTGCTGTTGTGCTGCACATGTGATCATTTATGACACCAACAATTTGATGGCTTGACAGATCAAGTGAGATCATAAACAAATGTGACAGTTATCTTTCATGGCATGCCTTGAATTTTTATTATTTTGGGAAAACATTAAATTGATGGGTTTATTAAGTTCCACTTTAAAGCTTCATCATAAAGAAACACAGCACTGAAGGCTAATTTCAAGTGTATGTGTAGCCAAAGAATTTTTTTTTTTAGATAGTATAGGAAAATAATAGAATCTCTCTCAGGTTTTTATTGCTGTTTGTGGCCCTGCTGGGGAGGTTTTACCAAGGCAAAATGTGATGGTAAATCCAACATTTTACAGTTGTCACCGAAAGAGGGTAGTCTTCCAATGAGGACACCTTTTTTTGGTGACAACTGAGGAATTTCCTTCCTTTTATAAAGACTTACTCACTTCCTGTTGCACCTGCATGGGATGCCTGCAGGGAGGTTTCCCGCACCGCTCCTGTGTGAACTTGGACTATGACAAGCCTGGGTTCACACAGCAGCAGTGGGGAAACTGCATGCGACTTGGACAGGAATCGCATTTCTGTTCAAATCGCATGCTAATCTTTGCGGTGCAATTTGCATCCATTAATGCAAATCGCACCGCAAAGTATTGGTTAAGGTATCAGGAGTATTTTCATGAGTATAGGTGCATCCCTAGTCAGGGTTATGTTTTAGGGCAAATTATATAGATCAAATAGACAAGTGTTTTCTGGTAATTGATCTGAGAATGCTGAAATGTACATAGGAGCTCATACTGAGCTGTATAAAAAGGCACGCAGTTAACCGAACATGAAAATAAAAGCTAAAAAAAAATAAAATAAAGTTTGTTCTTTCCTTCATAAGTTATGTAACTGAATTTGGATACAGACTAGAGGTTGACACTATACAGAGGGGCCCTGATGTGTCAGTGCAGCTTCCAGATTTATTTGCGAGTGTTTTGCGATTAAAACCTCTCTTTTGTTGACAATGTTAGGGCTGGTTCACACCAGATGCGTTTCCGAGCAATTCCCACATGGTGCGTTTTGACAGCCCATTTATTTTTTATAAGCTGCAAGATGCACTGGACTGCAGAAAAAGTAATGCAAGCATTACTTTTTCAAAACACACTACACTAAACTGCATGGTACAGCGGTACAATGAGATTTGGTGCCAACAAACACACTGTATTTGCGATCTGCATTTGGGGTGCCATTAACCACACACTGGCACCCACATGCAGAGCGCTAAAGCAGTGCTTTCACCTGCAGTGTGGAAGACACACATGGAATGCACCTTTCCTATACCACGTTCTGGTGTGAACCACCCCTTACACAGTGTACGTTTTTTTTTTGGCTAGCTGGTAAGTGTGCTGGGATCTACATTTAGTTTTGTTTACTTTAAAAGATAAGTTCACCTTTTGACCAAAAATAATAAATGCACAATTTTTTGCAGGTAAAAAAATGTGCATTTATAATTTTTGGTTGCAGGAGTCTGTAAAACATTGCACCAACGATCAGGAGATCGCTGGTGCCATGTAGGTCTCCTGCAGACCTGTCAGTATATCTGCTTACCCTTATGAGATTTGGCAGCGGCTGCAGCATTGGGAACATGTTACATGTTCCACCCTAACAACAGGTGGAACATGTTACATGTTCCACCCTAACAACAGGTGGAACATGTTACATGTTCCACCCTAACAACAGGTGGAACATGTTACATGTTCCACCTTAACAACAGGTAGAACATGTAACATGTTCAAAAGGCGAAATTATCTTTTAACAACCTTAGCTTTCTTAGCTTTCTAACTTCTAAGTTAACAATTGTTAAAATCTAGCTCATTTCTTACAAACAATTATAAATCTGGTATAGCTTATCTAACTAGAAGGTAGAAGGAAAGTGTCCAGCTTCTGTACATCTGTGTTTTTTGACTTACCTGTATGACTCCTCTTGTGTACCATCAGTACATTAGGACCAATGCAGACCATGCCGCATATGTCACACTTCAGTTTGCCATTGGGGAGGCGAATGCCTCCTGGCGAATGAGGGTCTTGTCCTGGACCATCACAATACCCCAACGGCTCGACCAGCGAGTCATCGGGCATAACACCGTCTTCCTTCTCGCTCAAGCGGTCTTCATGATTTAGAAGACGACCAGATTCTTCATCACTATACATTTCCACTTTAATGGAATTTGCTGGAGGGTAAACCAATCAGAATATCAATAAATAATAATAACAGCAAACAAAACCAATTATTTTAAAACTTGCAAACTTTTCAAAATGCAATAATGCTTTGTCTTTAAATAGTATATGTATACAGTGCTTTTACGGACAAACCAACAGGCCTAGGTGATCATATAGAATTGCTGAGCATATGAAGATTACGGAAATGTATGCAGCAATTTAAGTGAAAGGTGAAAAAATATTAATCTGCAAACTACAGGGGAAAAAAGGATCAGTCGCTGTGTATAATACACACACACACACACGCGATAGTTACTTCTCATGGAAAAGGTTGAGCCCCAGACAAACAAGTACATTTCTGCACACATAAGGGTCAACCATATCTTTCACAATCTTCAAATATTCGCTAAAATGTAAATTTGTACTGTGACATTTCTCTACATTTTCATCTATGAGAAACAGATGAAAAGGAAAACTGAAAACTTGTAGATGCTGGAAGAAAGAAAATACTAAGGCCTTTTGATGCCTTTGTGTACCTTCATTTGGGTTTCAGGAGCCTAAATCTCATTAACATCCCCCCCACAAAAAAAAAAAACAAAACAAGACAAAAAAACAAAAAAAAACACAAACTTTTTTTTATTTACATGTTTTGTTCATGGAGAGAAAAAAATAGCCCCATATGACACTAGTGATTCGTTTACTGGTGGCAAGTTGGCAGCAACAATCAGGATCATTAACAAAGCAGCCGCTCTGTTGGTCTTACTCCCTTGCTGGCTGAACTAGCATGGTTTCACTCTATTGCTGACACTTATGCAGGCCATAGATGGGTCGTTTATCGGCTGAATTTGTGTCCGCATGAAAAATCGCCCGATATTCACGCCATTAGTGGGGCAATGCCGTCGGCCATTTTTCATGGATTTTCTCGTTTCTTTTTATCGGTCATGCTGGAAAATCCACGAAAAACGGCCGTTTTTCATAGACATTGGTGGCAGCATTGGCAACGGCAATGACCGATTTATCATTTATTGGACGACAATTCTGCCGATAAACGGCCCTTCTATAGCCAGCCTTAGGTTGAGGGTAGCAGTTGACCAGGTAAGGTTGGAGTAGTTTTACAAAACTGTGCTCTGTTCAGGGACTTTTACCTTAGACTGTGTGTAAACCCAAACAATGTACTTCCGTTATTAACTCCCTTTTGTTCTGTTAAAGTGGTTCTAAAGGCTCAAGGTTTTTTACCTTCACACATGAAGGTAAAAAAAATTCTCTGTGCAGCATGCCCCCCCCAGTGTGTTACCTGAAGGGGAGGAGGGGCTGAGCCGTTCTCTGTGTGTCTCATGGACACACAGAGCAGGCTTGGTAGCGAGCATGCACAAGTTCAGGGTACTCGGGGGAGGGGGGGACCCGAGAAGAGGAAGATTGGGGCTGCTCTGTGCAGAACTATTGCACAGCACAGGTAAGTATAACATGTTTGTTATTTTTAAAGCAAAACAGCTCAAGCTTTGTGTCACTTTAGTTGCATCGTCAACAAAAAGACACAGAACGATAAAATAAAATTCACTCACTAATACGTATTGTCCAGACAAATCCAAAATATATTATACGGGATAAAAACTCATCCCTGTCACTGATACATTCTGCTAGAGAGCTTGTTCTTTTGAAAACCAACAGACTTATTGTCAGGATCACCAGATGAAAATAGATACAGCCATCATATCTAAGAAATGGTAAGTTGCAATATATTAACTGTTTGATTTTGTGTTAATACCGCTTTAAGCCCAACTAGTTAGAGACACATTCTATGATGACTGCTGTACAATTATGATGATGGCATTTCAGGCTATCAGTGCATAAGGGGCAGTAGGGAGGATCTTCGAGCAGCTCCAGAACATGCATGCCAGATTACAGACCAAAGATGTAGGGTGAACTACTGCATTATAGTAATATCAGGACATAAAACTGAACTATTTAACAGGCAGGCTGTGCTCCCAAAATGTATCACAAGGTTTCATTTTCACTACTGACCTGAGTGCATCTTTGATTGGTATATTTTCCTTACAAAATGGAAGTCCAAGGTGATAACTTTATATAATAATAAGCCAGGAGACAGATGTCAACCATTTGAAGGGTATCCTTCATTGGGTAGTTTGCTGCCACTTTCTGCCTCAAGTTCAAAAGGACAGGTAGGATAATGACTTTTACACAGCAAATTGTCTTTTTTCCCCACCTGGGTTCAAAGCTACAACAGCAATTCACCTGGTACAATAGTACACTTACCACTTAGTGAACGACTTGGGGATGAGTGTCGGCTGTTAGGTGTGCTCACAGTGGGTCCAATTAAAGCTTCTGAGAAATCCTTTTCCAGAGATGAATCTCCAGCTGCAGTTTTAAGGAATAATGTCAAGTTAAGAGAGATAATGGGAAAAATAGTAGCTGAGTCAACACAACGTACATTAAACCTTGAAAGGTACAGAGAAACTCAAGAGGAAAAAAAAAAAAAAAGGTAATACCAGTTTACTGGTCTCATTAGATTTCGTGGTTGCATTTGTTTTGCTTTTCTGTTCTGGACTTTTTTCCATCTTATGACCCTGCCAGTAATATAAATCCTGTCTGTGGATTACAGAAGACTTCTCCCTCTCCTCAACATATGAGGGAGGTTTTCGGTAAATCACAGAGAAATGGAAACAGCACTGATAAAAGTGCAGCACCATTATCACGTCCACCACCTCCTGTTCCTTTCTGAGGGGAGAGAGGGACAGAGGGAGAGAGGGACAGAGGGAGAGAGGGACAGAGGGAGAGAGGGACAGAGGGTGAGAGGGACAGAGGGTGAGAGGGACAGAGGTGAGAGGACAGAGGGTGAGAGGGACAGAGGGTGAGAGGGACAGAGGGTGAGAGGGACGCTTCTGCTCTCAGGCACAGCACTTGATCCAGATCTGGCTCAGGCAAGTATTTAAAGGGGCTGGGGAGGGGGGAGTAGTTTTTAAGTCATTTTACCTTAGTGCAGAGAATGCATTAAGGTAGAAAACCTTTAGCTTTTAGAACCACGTTAAGAATCAATAAGTCTATCTTTGAAATTAAAAATTGCTATATGCAGATTTGGTACTTAGATTTAGTTTTATTTCACATTCACCACTCCCTAAAGGTGTAAATATTTTTGTCTATGTCAGTAGTGCCCAGGAGGAAGCACTAAACCTCTGCATAAAGTACTACTGATATAATTTTCCCAGCTTCACATGAGGCATCAAAAGTAACATACACAACCTTGATTGGCATATGGGGCAAAGCCATCACTGAAAAAACAAAAAACATTTAGCCCAATTCCTAGCACACCTTCATGTGACATGATACAGATACAGCCATGTACTGTGATCGCCAGATCTAACCAATATGACCATTTAGCATGTACACTGAACATAGATCATGTAGACCTGGCTGTAAAAACACTCTCTCATCACAATTTAACAAAAATAAACTCAGCACAAATCTTTCTGTATAGTAATAAAACTGACAGAATGTGATCAAATCTGTTAAGATTTTGGTTATTTCCATATGGATATTCAGGCTGCATTCACACGTCTCCATTTTTGGGCTAATGTGTTGCCCATCATAATCAATGAAAACACATAAAAATGTGTTGTAATGCACTTTGCATCACAAAATTACTAAGCACTGCCCCGTGTTTTTATTGATCTCAATGGAGATGCATGTGTGTTAAAATGTATAGGTGACAGGTGATTGTGATATTTTAAATTTTTTTTAAGTAGGGTGTGTGGCAGGAAATCATTTTTAAGAAAATGAGTTTCTAACCTACCATTGCTTACTATCAAAGTGTTAGACAGAGTGGGGAAGATTAGAACTGGTGTCCTTTTTTTTACTGTTGTCTATATCCCCACTGGGGAGACATACCCTGACTGCCCTATCCCAAGGACCACTGTTGGTAACAGGAAAACAGACAGAGAAAACATGAAAGAGGTTCTTACCCTTCCCCAGTTTACTAGAAGAAAACGTGTTTTACTGCTTTATGTCCCTGTTTGAAAGATTTGCCCTCTCGTCCTGTCTCACCAGGACAGGAAGAAAAAGAGAACTTCCCCATGGGAACAAACAGACCAGTAAACACCAGGCAGCAGTCCTAATCCTCACCCCCAGTCTAAAATTAAATAATTAAAAAAGGGGACGTTAACCCCTTCTGGAGCCATTTTTCACACAAATGTTAAAATGCAATTTAGCAGAAACCCTGCAAAATTAAAATGGTGGTAGTTGTAGCAATCGTACCCACAGAGATGGACGCGGTTCAACCATGTTGCTCTAACCTCCATCTTCGCAAAGGATCATCCATCTTGTACAAATATGCCTCTCCTCATTCTCCCCCTCCCTCTCTGAGAGTCACAGTGACATTTGGTCGGTGTGTGTGTGTTGGAAGTATCACAGGCCGGCCAGGGCACAGCAGGGAACTCCGAGCTATAAACCATCTTTGAGCTAGGTGCCGGGCTGGCTGGGAAGCTGAGCAATCTGGCACCTCGTACAAAGATAACCCAAGCCTTCCCCTGAGTTCAAAGACATTCCAGACAAGTAAGAAACTAGATAACACTTTTAAAATCCATTTTTCCTCTATGTCTCATATCTTGGAATATGAGAGACTTACATAAAAAACAAGCATATCTTCAGATTGGCCATGAGAAGACAAACAGTTTGATATGTCACTCTCCCTGGCTGATGTAGATAGGAAAGCAGAAAATTACATCTCTTGAACCACTCAAGTATGTATGTTAGATATCTCATATCTAACCGTTCCTCAGATGCGTCTGCATATTAATCTACCCGCGGGTGGAATGTTACTTGTGCCTAGGAAAAGTTATGAGCCAATATATGAACTCTGAGAGATTTTGGTTCTAGTTTGGATCTCCACCCAGACAACTCCTCCCCAAATGAGGCATTGGTCCTTGGCTTCAGAGACACCCCCTGGTGGGGAACCACAAAATAGGCTGTCAGGTCTAAGAGTGTAAGTGGAAGAATTCTCCCGTTTAACATCAGAACCAACTTGGGAGCCCTTTTGCTCTGAAACTTGATCTGCTTAACCCAAGGCTGATTGGCAAGTACTTTAACCCTTTAACCTCTTTTCTGTTACCTCTTTGCTGTTCTCTGTGTATATATATATATATATATATATATATATATATATATATATATACACACACACACACACACTTACATCTCTTTTCTGTAAATATTTTTATTGCACCCTTTTGACCTTTTAGTAATAAATCTTTCTTTCTGAAAGCGTTGCACTGTTTCTATAGCTCGTTAATGGAACTTACGAATTCCTATCTCTAAAAAAGCGCTACTGTGTTTGTTTAACCCTCTGTATAACCTGTCTGCGGTGACAGTGCTATACAGATAATTATCTCAACCATCATAGTGTTATTGCTGATATTGCCGAGTTTCCTCTCTCTGTACAAAAAGGAGGTGGTGGCAGTGTGAAGGGTTAATTGCGTAATTAACCTGACCCAGTAACAATCGCATTCAGGCTGCCGGTACATCGATTTGTGGTCCATTAGCTGGAAAATCGTTGTGCAGGGTGCAGCTGGGCGTGGCATTGTTACGCACGTGACATTGCGGCTTCAGATTGGCTAGTCCTTCAGTCACGAGTTTGGTGAGGTCAGGGGTCTGACGCGCGATCGTCACAGTAGTTGCAATTTTTTACATTACATGGTCATTGTGCTACCGTTTATCAAATCCATATTTTCAGTAAAAATATGCTCAAATGAGGTTGCGTCGAGTAAATAATGTCATGTCTCAAAACTGCATGAGCCAGTAAAACAATGAAAAACTAAGGTAACCAAAACTGTCTATAGAAGATGATTTTATAGCCTTTACAGATCATTAATTTAGGCTTAACAGTGAATGCAGGCTCTAGAATTATAGCTCTCACTTCGGTGTGTGCGGTGATACCTCATATGTGTGCTGCAATAGTTGTTTCTGTACAAGTGCACACCAGACACACACATTTGTGTTAGTATCTGCTTGTATGAGGGAGCATCTTGAGGTATTTTTTATTCATTACACTTTCATTATTTTTTTTTTTTTTAAATTAATGTTATTGCTGTTACAAGAGGGCAGACAAATCCCCCTATGTTAGAGAGTTCTTTAAGAAGACATCAGGGGTATATTAGACCCCTATTGCTACCTCTGCTTTCTGTTGAAGCTAACTGGGCACAGAGAGCAGTACAGAAGTGAACTGCCTGAAATGCTTAAAATAAGAAAGATAGCAACCAGGAATAAAAAGGTAAAGCAACATTCCTGGCTGCTATAGTGGCTGTGAGCTTGTTTACATGTTGGTGGGCAGCAAAAGGCATTAAGATCCTATACAAACCAAAGCATAGCGGTAACATGGTAAAAAGCAAAAAGCGGTGTATTACAGTGTTATTCATTATGAATGGCATTATTATTATACAGGATTTATATAGCGCCAACAGTTTGCTCAGCGCTTTACAATATAAAGGGAGACAATACAGCAACAATACAGTTCAATACAAGAGGGTTAGGAGGGCCCTGCTCCTTGGAGCTTACAATCTAAGAGGGAGGGGGCTAGTGGTACAAAAGGTAGTAACTGTGGGGGATGGTCTGGTAAGAGGAATAGAAGATTCCATTATTAGCTGAGGGCAGGATAGGCTTTCCTGAAGAGATAGGTTTTCAGAGATTGCCTAAAAGTGAGCAGAGTAGTCTGATATTACACACCCAAAGGTTTCTACATTTTTTAATTTGTCTGAAATATGACAAAAGCTTAATTGTATATCTCAATTAAGTGGAGGGGATGACCCAGTCTTACGTCAATATCAAAGTTTACCAAGGCTAGGTTCACACTATTGCAGATGCAATTTGATTAGATTTTTAGTGCGATTATGTAATGCAACTTTGCTACTTTCTGGATTTGGTTTGCAAATTCTATGGGGGCAAAATGGCATTGGAATCACATCAAAGTACCCTTTTCCAAAATGGTGCTGCATTGATGTGAATGGGCACCATTGAAAACAATCTGATTTCTATTCTCATGCGATTTTGTGCAACTCAAGTCACATCTGAAATTGCACTAGTGTGAATTAGGCCTAAAGAAACATTTATTATAACATAAAGAAACTGAAATAAGTTTGTACGTACCAGACATATAAGAGCGGCCATTGTAGTCCTCAATTTCCATATTAGACTGGGTTCTCTGAAAAGTGATCAAGAAGACTTTTAAGTCAAATAAATCAAGATTATTTTGAGATAGAGGAAAAAAAAAAAAATCTCTCTTAAAGGTTGATTTACTAAAACTGGAGAGTGCAAAATATGGTGCAGCTGTGCATGGTAGCCAATCAGCTTCTAGGTTTTTTGGTCAAAGCTTAATTGAACAAGCTGAACTTAGAAGCTGATTGGCTACCATGCACAGTTGCACAAGATTTTGCACTCTCCAGTTTTAGTAAACCAACCCCTGTGTAAGGCCCCTTTCGCACAGGCGTTCTGTATGTCCGTTTTCATCTGTCCATTTACAGTTGAAAAAAACGGACACCCATGTATTTCTATGGACTAGCGGAGCTAAATGGATGATCATCTGTTTATGTCCGCTAACATCTGTTTTTTTGAATGGAAGAAACCCCTATTTTCTTACGTCAAAAAAACCCCGGAATGGATGAAAAACGTATGTAAACGTACAATGGATGTAAATGGACGACATGAAAAACTGACATTAACTGATCTGTTTTTTCTTGGAACAAAACGTGACTGAACTGATGAAAAAAAATAGAACGCCTGTGTGAAAGGGGCCTTAGCCAGAGCAAGTATGCAGCCAGTGAATTCAAAACTTTTACAGGCCCTTTACAAAATAATGAAGCCACTGGATCAGCATACCAGCCTGGCAACTAGCATTTAAGAAAGATTAGCAATGTCAGACCATATATTTCACTCTTAGCAACCAATGTGTCCTTTAACATCAATACAAAGTTGCTGGTTTTGGCTTCATTTGTAAAATTATTTTAAACTCATCAGTTAAACAATGTTGACTACATAAATATTTACCTACAAATATAAAATGCCACATTGTTGACATCACATTCAGTAATGTGGATGCTCTCTGTACCTGACATTACAGCAGTTATGAATGTCATTAGATTTTCTACCTTGACAGATAGATAATCCGCTTGTTGTTTTATTACATGGGAAAAATAACCTTCTGCAACAAAAAAGTCATTTAAGTTAAAGCTGAACTTTAGTGCACACACACGAAATAAAAAAAGCAACATTCCCTACAACTTTATTCACATCAGTTACCTGTAATGAAGGGTGTCCCACATTGTGCAGACAGCTGGATTGTAAACTCCAAGGAGCAGGGCCCTCGAACCACTCGTGTATTGAATCATATTGTTACTGTACTGTCTCCCATTATTATGTACAGCGCTGAGCAAAATGTCGGCGCTATATAAAAATCCTGTATAATAATAATAAAATAATAATTTAGGGATGACTGTTCTCTTCCTGTCTCTGAACTTGGCACTGCAATGGTTACCAGCTTCTGGCCTTCAGGCAGAACAGCAGTACCAATTGTCTGATAGGGACACACCCTCTCCTCCTTCATTGAGAAAATTTCTCTCAGGGATTACACTGCCTGTAACGTGATCTGTGAATGGAGGAGAACTTATCAGTCACTGGATTCTCTCTCAGTGTAATCAATGAAATAACTTTTCTTAATGGAGGAGGAAGATGGAGGGGGCAATTCTCCGTCCAACCACCTGTATTGCTGTTCTGCCTGAAGACCTGAAGCTATTGACCCTTGCAGCCTCAATTCAGAGCCAGGAAGATGATGGGCATACCTGCCTAGGATCCAGCTGCTTGAACAATGTGTGACATACTTCACAGGTAACGTGAAGTGATGTAATAAAAGCTGTAATGTTTTTTTTTTTTAACCATATTTAAAGTGGATCTTTACTCTCTCCACCTACTTTATTTCATTCCAGTCCTCTGCCACTTCTCTCCTACAAACCTGAACATTTGTTTAATTATTTTTTTCCCACCTTTTCAGGAGTTTCTCTTTAACCTGTGGCCAGGTTATGGACATGCAAGTATTTACATATACTTAACATGCGGTAAATAACATAAAAAACAAGCCCTCAATGACCTCAGTAACTGCAGGCACGGTGGAAGAAATAATACCCGCAAGGTTCCAAGCAGAAGCACTGAAGTTGTTTGTGACCTGAGCTGCCTGATTTGAGTACTTCTGCTGTGAACTTTGAATGTCCATAGCCTGACCACAGGTTCACTTTAAATTTTCAGTAGTATAGATCAAATGGCTGAAGGACGCTATCTTTCTGGTTGCTATTTACGACTACACAGTGCACTATGCCATTTGCCTTTTTAAACAAAAGCTTCTGTATTCGCTCTGTAATAGCATTCAGTCCTAAACCATAAAACAGGATAATGCAACAAAGGTTAGAATATTTGCCTTGGGTAGAGGCCAATACCAAGGTTGTGTTTACCAACAACCTTGGGTTTAGAGGAGAACCAAATGAGATCTGATAAAAAATGCTCTCTTTGTTATGAAGATCATCACTGTCAGAGACCACATCAAATTGTAATGTATCAAATCACATGATTGATCCTAAGATACTGTCATTTACCATGACCTCTAAACCCTAGAATGTACTTGTAAGGGCTAGGTCACATCACGTCAGCTGAGCTATGCAGATTGATGCAGGCTGAATGCCAGGACATATAGAAAATTAATGTTTTCCAAGTGCCCCGCGCACACCATAAGGCTGTGTTCAGGTGCATTGCATAAAACAAAATACAGTATTACCACAACATCCTGTGGTGCATAGAGTTAAATGAAGTGTCATTCTGTGACACTTCAATAAAATTAAAAAGTAAACAGTTGTTACAGAGGACGGCTCAACACCTACCCCTACACAATGTACACCAGCATGTGTTTTAGTGTGAGAACGAGCCTTTAAAGGGCTATTTGCAGACTGAAAGGAAAGTCTGACATGTATCATTTCCAAACCTGTAGGCTAAGTTTATACTAGTTTTGTCAGCAGGCATCAGACAGGCGTTTGGGAAGCGTTTTTAAAGCTCCTAAAACGCCTATGAAAATTCTACACATGGCAGCACACAGTGCTGTTCACACTGAAGCGTTAGCGTTTGCAGCAAAATTGACACCTCATGTGGAGTCAGGAGGAGTTGAAGCCTCCCATTCAAGTCTATGGTGATGCTCCTCAAACGCCTGGCAGGTGTTTGAGGGGCTTTTACGGAGCGTTAATACCATTAAACTTTCTTGTAGGCGTTTGTGGTGCAGTTTTAAACTCTTGGAAAACGCCTATCAAACGCCTCAAAAACACTCATAGGGCGTTTGGGGAGCGTTAAAAATGCTTCTCAAATGCCTGTATAACACCTGTCAAATGCTATAGGGGGTCTGGCAAGAGTTAGAAATCAGTCAAGTGTGAGCGTAGCCTAACACCTGTCACATGCTATAGGGGTGTTTGGCAGGAGTTAGAAATTAGTCAAGTATGAAGGTAGCCTAACACCTGTCACATGCTATAGGGGTGTTTGGCAGGAGTTAGAAATTAGTCAAGTGTGAACGAGCCCTTAATCAGAACTTTACATTGAAAGCAGCAGGCTACAAATACCTAGAGTTTACAGGATCTGTTTATATTCCTTTTAACCTCAATGCTCATTATTTTCCGCTAGGAAACAGTGGGTCCTATTTACTAAAATGTGTACAAATAAAGTGCACCTGTCATCACCTGAAAATCTTCTGAAGCAGTTTGTTTTTCCATTTTCCTGTACAAAGCTGGATAACTGAAGTGTGCAAAGGTTCACCTACTTTTATTTCAGTTGGCACGTTTAGAGGACAATGTTTAGGGAGAAGTGCACTAGTCTACCCTTCCTAGTCCTTCTAACCTAAACTGTCATAGAAACTTTGCTTTGGATAATAAGGCCTCATACACACTGGGCATTTGTTAAAGCCCCTCAGAGTGCCAGAACTCCTGGCAGGAAAAAGCAGCCTAAAAAAAACAAACACAGTAAAAGCTGCGTATTTCATACACCTTTAGGCATTTAAGTGTTAATGCATTTCAATGGCCAGAATAAATGAATATACTGGCCAATAGAATGCATTAACACTCAAATGTTAGATGCACCTAGGGTTTATGTGTGTTTAACTTTTTTTTTTTGCTTTTCAGCTCCTCTCCTTAACCACATGCCCTCCGGAGGATTTACCCCCCTTCCTGACCAGGCCATTTTTTGCGATACGGTGCTGCGTTACTTTAACTGACAATTGTGTGGTCATAAAATTCTGCACCCAAATGAAATGTATGTCTTTTTTTTTCCAAAAAATAGAGCTTTCTTTCGGTGGTATTTGATCACCTCTACGGTTTTTATTTTTTGTGCTATAAAACAAAAAAGACTACCAATTAAAAAAAAAAAAAAAAAAAATCTTTTTGACTTTTTCCTATAAAACATGTCCAGTAAAAAAAAAAAATTTAAAAAAAACTAAATTCTTCATAAATTTAGGCCAAAATGTATTTTGCTACATGTCTTTTCTATAAAAAAAAAACCCAATACATGGAAATTAATTGGTTTCCGTGTAAGTTATAGCGTCTACAAATAGCGGTATATATACTGGAATTTTAATTTTTATTATACTAGTAATGGCAGCAATCACTCTCCAGTGGGACTGCAGTGGGCATTCTGACACTGGGGAGGAACTGACTAACTGCCACTGACATCCCAGACACTAATACAGTGATCAGTGCTAATAAAAAGCACTGACACTGTACTAATGACACTGGGCAAGAAGGGGTTAACATCTGGGGCGATCAAAGCAGTAACGGTGTGTGTTTTACTAGGGAAGCATGCGGATGTGTATTTCTTTGCTATGCAGAGAAATACACAGCAGCATGCTATTGCTGGCAGGAGAGAGACCTGCGTTGTTTACACACAGGTCTCTCCTCTGTCACTCAGCAATCGCCAGGTGCCAGTGGAGAATCTCTGGCCGGGACCCAGTGATTGACATCTGTAGCCACCAATGGCAGTGTGGATAGGGCGGCGTGTGTGCACAAGCCCCCTACCCAGAAATACAAATCATGTACTGTATATAGAAGTGACTTTTCGCAGCCCTATAGCAGTATTTCTGCTAAAGGCCAGGGGGCAAGTGGTTAATATGCCTTTGGTGGATTTTTTCCCTGCCT